TATTCTCCTTTGTTTGCGAGGTCACTCAGTCATGTTCAACTCTCTGGGACCCCATGGACTGCAGCCTACCAGGCTCCTCTGTCTCCTCTGACCTGGGATTTTCCAGGCAAGAGTACTGGAGTGGGTTGTTATTTCCTTCTCCAGGAGATCTTCCCGACCCAGGAATTGAACTCTAGTCTCCCGCATTGTAGGCAGACGCTTTACCATCTGAGCCACCAGGGAAGTGGCTTTTTTTTGTTTGTTTGTTTGTTTGTACATGATACCAGAACTTTTCCCCTAGTCTGTCAACTTATAATGTTTTTACATCACACAGAAATATCAGCTTTGATGATGTTCAAACTTATCAGTCTCTTCTTTATGATTTGGGGACTTGGTCTTAGGTATTAATAAACTGCTTACCCTAGAAACTTATTTTCCAACATACTAAATTCTCTTATATTTTCTTCTTATACTTTTAGAGGTGTTTTTGTCTTTAAGCTCATTCTTTAACTCAAATAAGCCATTTTGAATATGGGGAAGTAGAATCTTTCTTTCCAAATAGTCATTTACCCCTCTACAATGTATCCAACATTATATCCAATGTATCCAACTCAACTGTTTCAAAATACCAACTTTATTATATAATAAATTCCTCTGTATATAAATGGGTTACTGGACTCTACTTTGTTCCATGTACCAACCTCTCTATTCCTGTACTCACCATTTACATAACTGTACCATTACAGTATGTTTTGATATCTGGCATAGCAAATCCTTCATCAGTATTTTCCACTTGAAAAATTTCTTGGCCACTCGAGCACATTTAGTCCTCTGGACAAATTTTAGAAGCAATTTATCAAGTGTCCAAAAGTAAGTCTCACTGGGATTTCAACTAGAATTACATTGAAGTTACAGTTTAATTTGTAGAGTACTGCAATCTTTACAAAGATGCCATCCCTTTCCAAAGCATGTAATGTCTGTCCACTTATTTGGGTTAGCTTTTCAATTCTTCAGGTAAAGGTTTCTACTTTTTTCATAGAGCTTTTGTACATTTGTGTGTTACTCTTAAATGTCTTCTGGTTTTGTTGCTATTGAGAATACAGTCTTATTTTTCTACAGGAACAATTACAAATTACTTATTAGTGAGATTATACATCTTTCTAAATGTCAAACAAATTGTATCTCTATCCATTAAACTATCGAGCCACATCCTGCAACCATGTGTGTGGATTTTCATTTTCTCATTGATTTGTATGAGTTCTTTACGTGTTGTAGATATTAACTCTTCACTTACATTTGTCACAACTATTTTTCTACTTTGTGGTTTGGCTTTTGATCCTAGGATTTCATTTTTCCTTTCTTCTTAAAGTTTTCAATGTTTATGTAGTCCAATACAGATTTTAACTAATAACAGATCTGAATGTCTCATGGGTACCAGGACTTGTACCTCTTTCTCTCTCAACACCTGTATAGTGGGTATCATTTTTCTTACTTAAATTCCAGTTCAAGCCTGTCTAATCGCTAAGCCTGTGCTGTTCACCTCGGCATACAGAACTCCCTTTTCCAGATGTTCCCCTATTTTTTTAAAGATTTTTTTTTTAATGTGGGAATTATTTTAAAAGTCTTCATTGAATTTGTTACAGTATTGCTTCTGTTTTATGTTCTGTTTTTATGTTTTAGGCCCTGAGGCATGTGGGATCCCTGACCAGGGATCAAACCCATACCTCCTACATTAGAAGATAAAACTTTTAACCACTGGACCATCAGGGAAGTCCAGCCCAGATGTTTAATATTTACTTCCATATCTTCTCTGATTTGGAGGGCATTCGTGATGGTTTGTCACTATTACACTTCCATATACAGTTTATCTTTGGGGTGTTGAATAGGTTCCAGTGACCTGTCCAGATACTCTGAAGCTAGTGTGACACTGTTTAAACACAACTGGTTCTACGATATGTTTAAACAATTAGCTTGCTCTAGCTCATTACTCGCTATTCCATCCAGTTCACCTGAAAAAGGGTATCTCTATAGCATTTAAACATCACATCCAGGAATATGGCCTATCCTTCAGTTTAAGACATTCTTTCTCATCTTTCAGGTTATTGTTTGGTCTCTTCCAGGCACGTCAGTCGCACTTGTCTTGATGAAGCTGTGTTTACCTGTTTCATGGTTTTTGTTGCATTGTGATCAGAGCCTGCTTTTTTGTTTGTTTTTCCATTTTAGTTTCTGAAAAAGTTATTATTAATATTCAGAAAGCTATAAATATTATATACTCATTGTGTGCCCAGTTGCTTTCTCAATTTTTTTATCTAGTATTTTTTTTCTGTTATTCTCATTTTTTTTAGCCAATAGCATTTAAAATATTTCCCTTCTTTTCATTTTAGAACCTCACCTCACTCTTATTTCATGTATCCCTGCTTTGACAAAACTTACCAAAAATATGTTAAATATACCAAATTTTTACTCTCTCTGATCCTATTCTGTTAAGCATAGTATGAACAGTTTAACATACATGTGTTTTGCATTAAAAAGTGCATCTTTATGCCTACTTTTTGAAAATAAAAAATTATTTATTTTTACAAACAAATATCTATTTTGACCTTAGTTTAGCTGGTAGTTTGAAGTTAATGCAAACTAGAAGTGAAAGACCATCTCTCTTCTAGAAGGACCTCTGACATCGCCTACCTGGTCTTCCCCACTTTCACTCTCCACTCCCACACTCTGCAGGTAGCAGCAGCTGGAGTGGTTGTTTAAAAATGCAAATCTGATTAAGTCATTCCCCTGTTTAAAACCCAACCTTTGTAATGGTTTCCCATTTCACTCAGGATAAAATAAACCTTAACCTGACCTACAAGACCCTACATGATTTGGCCCCCTGCCTAGCCACACTTGCCCCTCACCCACCATAATCTATCCACAAGTCATTCTTTCAGTTCCCAGAATGGGCAAAGCTTTCCCCCTTCTGGGCCTTCCCACATGCCGTTCCCCTGCCTGGAAAATTACCCCCCATCTCATTCTACACTGACGCCTACTCACCCTTCAGATCTCAGCTCAAAGCTTATTTTTGCAATAAAGTCTTTCCTGGGTCCGATCTCTGCAATCTAAAAGTCGGTCCCTTTTTTAATACTTTCTCATAGCCAATACTACCTCACTTTCACAGCAGATACTGGTTTGTGATTACAGGAGCAGCTGCAGGGCAGCATTTAATTTCTAACCCTTCTGCCCCCATACTTAAACTAGAAGAGGACAGGGGCAAGCTGATTCTGGTGGCCAAGCTAGAAACAGTCATGTACATCTGAATAAAAGAAGAAAATACCTACATACCTCTTAATTGTGCCTTCTGCATCTTAATATGATAACCATCACATTACTGAATATGTATATAAACTGTTAAAACTCTTGATACCTCTGGCAGATTCAGTAAGAATCCATTGTACTCAAAGGACATAAAAACTAACCTGAATCTGTTGCTGCTACAGAAAAACACAAATAAATTTACATCACTAGGAAGTTCTGTTTACATGAGTGTTTTATGTAGTGTTCAATTTGCTGATGCTTTATTCACAGTCAACTAATTTTTATGCCTTATTTTTCAAAGCATGTAAAATACTATGAAAAATATGCTTTGTAAAATACTCTTTCAGAAGTCTCAAGAGTACTTGATAAAAATATGACAAAATCAGAAACTAAACAGCAAAGTTGGCTAGCTGTAGTATTTTATTACATACATATCTAGCCAAAGAAGGAAATATAAATTGTAGTGCAAATTTAAAAATCCCTTCAGATCACAAAATCAACATTATACACTACTTTATACTCTACACAAAGTCTTTCACACACATCATATCACTGAACTTGATGAAGTAAATAAAGCAGATATTATCACTACTTATAGAAAAGAAAACTCAGGCTCAGAGTGATTAAATGTCTTCCTCAAGGTCACAGGACTTTAAAACAGGAGTCACAATTAAAACAGAGTCTTTAAAACAGAATCAGAATTACAAGGTGGGGGGGTTGTCCCCACATGTAAATTTCTGAACCAAAGAGAACGTCCATCATAAACACTTAGTCTCTGTAATAAGTGTAGATTTGTGCTCTCTTCACTAAAATCTCAGTAGAGAACAACCAAAAAAGCTATTTTAAATGTAAATAAATTGCCATCAATTCAGGAAATGGCTAAATAAACTATGGTGTCCTCAAACTATGGAACATGATGCAGCAGTTCTGCAAAATAATTGAATGCATCCTATGCTAAGAACTGAAAGCTAGAGTGAATGCATACTTGTTAAAACAGCCGAAGATAATACAAGTACACATTGGCCTAAAAACATTTTTAAAGATCTAGAAGGTTACACATGGTTGTTATCTCTGGGAACAGAGGGCTGTAGTCAAAGACATTAGCCATCTCTGTGATGTTTTAATTTTTACAAAGAAACGGTTTTACTTTGCTGATTTTAAAGTAATTCTTAAGATTTCAATCAATCTGTGGGTTGAACAATAAGATCATTTTTCTAGGTCTAAAAAACTGTGGAAAGGGAGGAGAAAACCTTATAAAGGAAGGAGGAACCCCCGCTTAAATACATATATATATATATATATATATATAGCAACAAAAACAGTTCGATTCTCTTGAAACAATAAACTATCACAAAACTTTCCTTTAAAAAAAAAAAAGGCAACAGCTTAGAATTTTTACAAATATCTAGTCTCCTTTGTGCAATAAGACAACCAATAAACTATCAACTAGGAGAGTCCGGAACAGGATCCTCTGGGAGAGATTTAGTTGTTAAGAGTTGGGCAAGGAAGGTTTCACAAAGGAGCTGAGTTTTGAGGGAAATGAGAGGTGACTGGGCAGAGAGATGCGGGAAGATTAAGCCAGATGGGGAAATGCCTGGGAAGTGGATATACTGAGTTAATCAGAAGCAGGGCCCAGGAAGAAAACTAGAGTAAAGTCCTCAAAGAGGAGAAGAGGATTCCTTTGGATGTGGGAGGGAGCTCGACTGCGCTGCCATCCAGTTTACCTGGGTGAGAATCCGGCCCTTGTTATGGTCAAACAATGGAGGCGTCCAGCGGCAGCAGCGATCTGCGCTGGGTGCCCGGAGGGTTCCTCATCACCTGAGTAGGATGCTCGGCTGGCTCAGCTGGGACGCAAGGCGCTCTTAAAAAAACACACATACACACACACATCACACCATGCAGCCAGGCTTCTCCGCGGCACAGCCCGGCTCCCTTGATCCCACGGCGCGGCCATTACCGCCTCTCCGGGGACCCGCCTGGAAAGGCTCCAAGGCGCGGCTTCACGGGTTTCTAAAGCTGTTTTGCTCCCCCTTCCCTTGGCTCCAACAACAATGGAGCCCGGCTCGGGAGTCCGGCTCCCGCGGGGCCTCCGCCCGGCCTCGCCCCGGTCGCTGCCCCTCCGCCGCCGCGCGCCCTGGCCGCCATCTGTGACCCCCGCTCCCCAGCACTGCGGGCCCACGCCGGCTCGCCGAGGCCCAAAGCCAGGCTGCCCTCCCCCGGGCCGGCCCGGGTGGCCGCCGGGCCGCCCGGGGCCACTCTGACCTTTCCCACCCGATGCCCGGGCGCTCGCCCCGGCTCCAGGCCCATCCTAAGTAATGGGTTGTTTTTCTTTTCTTTAATCCACTCATCCTCCTTCCGACCCAGAACCCGCTCCCTAGCCACCCCCCTCGCCCCCGCCTTGATCCCGAAAAGAAATAAAGACACTACAGCCCGGCCACCCCAGAACTCACTCCAAGTGAGGGGTTGAAGCGCCCCAGGCCGCGGACTCCGCGCACCCACCCTCCCTCTGCTCAAGGGACACCTCACAGGTGCGCCTCCGAGCCGCGCGCGCGCGCTCCGCACACCCAGACGCCTCCGGGGGTGCTCCTCCTCCTCCCCTCCCGCCCCACCCGGACCCGCGTTACCCTGGGCAACCGCAGTGCGGCCGCACCTGAGCTGTGCGCCTGCGTCCCACCGGCCAGACCCTCCCTTCCCCTTGGTCGGTTCCCCAGCCCCGCACAGCTGCGGGAGAGTGGGGGCGGGGCGTCACCCCGTCCCTGCGAAGTGAGTATCGATCGGCCTCCCCCGCCCATCCCCGCAGACACAGACCCGCCGCCGCCGCGCCGGCGCCTCGGCCGCCCGCCGGGTCAGCGCGGCCAGGCCTTCTCGCCGCCCCGGCCCCCCGCTCCCAGCGTGCACCGCGGCGAGCGCTCGGGTGGGAGCCGGCGAGATGCGCTTCGCGGGCGGTGCCCACTGACCTCCCTCGGCGGCCCGGCCGGGGCAGGGCCGGAGCCAGGAGCCAGCCCCGCCCGCCGCCCCGCCCATGGGCCGCCGGCCCCCGCAGCCTCCCGCCGCGAGGATAGCGCCGAGGGGGGGAGCCGCCTGAAGGAACGCGACGGCTGCGCCCGCAGGTGAGGCGGGGCCCGAGGTGTGATCGAGTCCAGCCCCGCTCACCTGGCGGTACCTGCAGGGAGGCTCTGAGGGTGCCGGCGGGGCCGGCGGCACCTGTCGCAGCGGGAACTCATTTAAATAATTTTTCAAGCCCTCACTGCAAGGAGAGGGGTCCTCCAGACCCACGGGGTGGGGAAGGGTGTCCCCTTACGGAGACATCTCGGGGGAGGGGGTGGGGGGTGAGGAACGAATAGGTGGAAAGGAGTGCAAAAGTGAGGCGCGGCGACCCCGCGCCGGCTGCCTGAGGGTCTTCCAGCCCGTTATAGGGAGGGGTTGCCCTTGCCAGGGCTACTGTCCAGGCTGGGGTGCCAACCCACTGCGCACCCAAGCTAACCTGAAGCGGGAGGAGAGGGCGGCCCAGGGGCGTTCCTGCCAGCCCCGGGGTGGGATTGTAGGGTGAGGGATCCGCATTGCAGGTGCACTAGGAGCGCCCGAGGGCCTGGCCCTGCTTTGTCTGGGATGCCGTGGGGAGGCGGCCATCCGAATCCACATCGCCTTTTCAAATGCGTTTTACCACCCCGTGGACGTTAGAGACCCTCCCAGATAAGTTGCATTGTCTCCTGTCCTGATAACCCTTTACGTAAGTACTCTACCTTTACAGCCCTTTTCTGAAGCTTTGGTGTGGGCTTTAGTTTACCCTAAATAACGATTTGTTTGTGAATCATGAAACTGAGCGGAATGCAGGGCTCCAGGCTCGGCTACAGAGCCGCGGTCTACTACAGCGAGTTACTCTAGTTTATTTAACTTACCTGTTTTCTTGCTGACCTGTATTAATTACAAGCTTTGGTATTAGGCAGTATGATCTATTTCTGTAATGAAACGAAGTGACCTTAAGAGGAAGTATAATCGCGCTCTGTTATTTAAGTTGCAGCAATCAGTCTTAATAACAAAATACAAGCCGCCCGACTGTTCTACTGTAATGTATTACCCATTTCCAGAAACCTACCTGTAAGAATGTTAATGCTAGAATTGCCGTTTTAAGACTTTTGAGTCTGAAATGTATTTCAAGAGCCTTATTATTGTTTTATTAAATGGGTTTTGTTTTGTTTTGCACAATCAAGAATTCCTCTGCATTGTCTTGCCATTGAATTGCAAGGAAAATAATGCTAACATTTAAAGTGGCTTGTACCTCCAAAGATGTTTTGAATTTATTTATTTTGGCTAAATGTTCATTTTATGTGAAATACATTTTGGGAGAAGGTTTTAAGGTTTGTGGTAAATTTATATGTGTGTCTTTATACATATGTTTACATGTGCATAGACACTACTGGAAAACCTTAAGATAAAATAATTTTTCTTATTCCTCTGCATCATGATGTAATTACTCAGTAAATTTAGTTTATGTATATTTAATACCTAAAGTACTCGACAATAATTCATGTGTATGAGATTTTTCCTGTAGCATTTGTAGATACTAACAATCTAACAAACAGGTTTCTTGGCAATTAGATATTTTTATTGTTGATTCTTTTCAAAAAGAACAAATGAATCCTTTTACCTGTGGCAGAAAATCACTCTTGTGGGTGCATAACTTTCTTGTGTCATTTATTGGATAAATTCATTTTAGCATCATCATTACTTAATTGACAGAGTGCATTTGTGGCAATACTGATGTTAACAGCGTCAAGACTTTTAAGACATACTTATTTTTATATTTATTTATCATTTTCTCAAATAGCAAGAAAAGAAAAAGCCTTTTTTCTTTTATCTGGAACAAGGTCAGCCATAAAAAGTCCTTAAGACATAGTGGACACACTGTGTTTGTTAACTGAGATTAATTCTATCTACTGGATTGGGTATCCTTAAAGGGCAGAACTAGGCGCCTTTATATGCTTCACTCACCAAGTGTGCAATAAGTGTTTGACTCAGATTAACCGTTCCAGACTAGTTAGGTAGGTGCTAGCTTAATGGCACCAATTTTCACATCTCCAGCTTTGATGTTTAAACCAGCAGAAAGGTTGGGCAGGGGAGTGAACGTGTCCTATTTGTCTTCAAATATTCAAGGTCTGCCAGGCAGCAGAGGGATTTTGTGTGTTTTAGAGTATTTCCATGACTTCCAACAAAGGCAAGTAGTACTTGCAGACAGACAGACTTCATTTCGATATAAAAAGCACAAGTTGTTTATGATTGGAACATCCAGTGGCAAGAAGGGGCTGCTCTTTCCCTGCAGAGTTTCTGAATAATCTGGACCCCCGATGAGCAGGAATGGCTGTTAGGAGGTACCCCCATTGGCATGAGAGAGGTCTTCCGAGGAGGGCTGAGGGACTGCCGTGGCGGTCTGACTGGAGGGCATCGTGGTGTCTTTTTATTTCTTACTCTGACTTCTGCAGTTTGGGCATAACAACACCCCAGACACCTACTTCCATCCTTGGAAGATTGTTACCAGGGCAGAGGCCTACCTGATACCAGAGATGATTCTAAGCCTACTTTATTTGCATTTGTGTCGGGCTTTACAGGTAATAAAGTACTGTCACATCCCGTGTCTTATTTTAAAAGACGCTTCTTAATTATGCATGATTTTTTCTCTTGGCTTTTATTTTCTATGAATGAATGAATGTGAATGTGAAGTTACTCAGTCATGTCCGACTCTTTGCGACCCCATGGACTATATAGCCTACCAGGCTCCTCTGTTCATGGGATTTTTCCAGGCAAGAGTACTGGAGTGGGTTGCCATTTCCTTCTCCAGGGTATCTTCCCGACACAGGGATTGAACTCAGGTCTCCCACATTGTAGGCAGATGCTTTACCATCTGAGCCACCAGGAAAGTCCTTTATTTTCTATAATAAACATTTAATCAAGAGGAAAATTACCAGTTTCTAGGAAGACAAGCAGGAGAGGCTTTTTTTTTTAATGGAATGATGTCAGTCATTCTTTCAAGAGTCAGCAGGTTGTGAAGGTGAATAGAATTTTTTTTTCTTAGCTGAAATTATTTTTTGAAAGATACTGGTTAAGGGCTGACTCTTGTGCTTGCGCTGCATTTTAGTTTGTTTATTTCATTACTCAAACATGACTCAAATTTCGCAGCCGAAAGTCTAGTCATATCCACTGACAGTTAGTTGCACTGGACTTTTTTCCATATGTCTGCCTCATACATGTTGGCAGGTAAAACACAGCTGAGAAGAAGCAGAATCACAGTGGTCCAAAAAGATGAGGCGAATTAGAGTTTGTGTTTGAAGAAGGAAAAGATGTGTCCCATTTGTACTAAGCCCAAACCTGGGAATGACAATTTGTCAACGATAAGAATGATGCTCTGTCCATTAAAACAAAGATGAGGCTATTGACTGTCAATCACAGTACATGTATTAAGTGGATCAGTGGGGTTAGGACTGTCTGTACCCCAGGAACAGAGCTAGAGCTTCCTGTGAATAGTAGAGAACCCAATAAATACTGTGTGCCCAAGGATTTAAGTGGAACATGATGGTAATGAGGCCAATTGAGTTAGACCAGATTCTGAGCTCTCCAATTTAGGAAAAAGTTAGAGGGGGGAAAAAACAGCTCTGAATTAATGTATACGTGTAATTAATTTAAAAAAAACCTTTAGAAAAATAGTTCCTCTCTTTCGTTCTTTACCAGATGAGTTTGTCCCATGCTTTTGTGCCTGTTATCCACCAGCTGGATTTGGGTATGACTATTTAAATAATGTAAAGATTTTTAAAATTTGCTTGAACCAGAGATGCACTGTTTGTTTATACTTAATGCATGAAAGGAAAGGAGAAGAATACCAAGTTCTTCTGGCCAACCAAAAAATCAAATAAGGACACCTTACGAGTATTGATTTATTCCTTGAGGGGAAAAAATATTGCAGATGCTGTTTTAAATATTATGATCAGGACAACAAATAATCAAGTAAGGCATCCAGTTAGAAAGCAGCCTTTTTGTAGGTGAAAGGTTATATTTTACAGAACCTCGCCATAATCTCTGAGGGCATCTCACATATGTCTTAAAAGACGCTTTTGTTAATCAGAAAACCAGAGTTTATGTTTTTACATGAGTTTCTACACTGGGGAGCAGACAAATGGATACTTTTATGATTATCCCTGTATACCACTTTATCAGAAATAACCATGTGAAGCAAGAATTCTCTACTCCTCTGGGCCTGTAATGGAAGAGGGAATAAGTGTTGTCCTCTTTTCGAGATCCTTCCTACTAGCTGATCTCAGGAGTGAGCAGTGCACTTCAATCAGCTAGCACACAAGAACAAGCCTGAGATGCTAAAAGCTACAATAAAGAAAACAAAATAGAAGAATGCTGTTAATAATCGAATTCTAGGCATACAATATTCTGCTGCTACAATCTTTCTCTCTGTTGCCTCTTTGACAACACTTAAGATGTTACATTTAGACCCATGTAAGATCCATGATCCTTTGCTCTTCAGAGTTCTTCCCACCAT